TAGAAAAGTTACAGGTTTTCTATACGACAGTGAAACCTTCACTATGCATGTGGGAGGACATGGGATTATAAAGTTTAACAGGGTTGAATATAGAATTTTATTGAAGAATGTATTACACATATAAACTGTTTAATATTTGAGTTTTTTAGTTCTAGTTTCAAGGACACAGTCTGGCTATGAAACAAGAATTTTAACAGATTTTCATAAAGTTACAAATACAAGCACCTTTTTGACATTATAATGCCTGGGCCAAAAGCCAAACTCTATTAACAGCAAAAATTTCAAGACAGTATTTTTCCCTTTAAAGAAAGTCCAAAACCCTTAATGATGGTTCTATGTAGACACAGATATAAGAACTATATGGAGTTGGAACTATATATAACAGAATAACATGTTGCTTGAATCTGCACATTTTAACATTTTCCAGATTAAAGTTCACATAAGCATTCTCAACAGACACTAAAAAGGCCTAACAGTGATAGACATTCAAATTCAGAATGAACTAAATTGCTTCCAATTCAATGTCTGACCATGGGATACAGTACTATGCTAAAATAAAAAGAAAATTTAGATTGCCTCTTCATGGAAAATATCCACACAAATATTTGTGGCTTTGCCTTACTTTCACTATGTAAGAGGCTAAAATAAGTCTCTGAAATTTCCATAAATATGGATAATATTCAGCATGAAAAACAAAAATGCTTGTATCCCTGCATCGTATTGTTGAAATTGCATGGGTTTCAAACAAAGCAAGACTGGTTGAGTTAGTATAATAGCAATTTTCCAGGGGAAAAAATCAAGTCCCATACAAATCTGTGTCAGAAATATATTATTTTGCCTAGTTATTTTAAGGACTAGATTTTGTCTCTGTAAACAGGAAGGAATAAAAATTACACAACACAAACATTACAAAAGCAGATTATATACGAACAATTAAATATATTACTAACTATACCCAAACACTCATTTCCTAAAAAGTGAATGTCTCAGAAAAGACATACTACTATTCTCCCAAAATTTTTGAGTTAAATATAACCTAGCTTCAAAATACGCATCTAGTTTTATAGACATTTTCATCTTAAATTTCATAAGTGAAACCACAAAGTGAGATAAGGAATTATGAATCTTATTCAGGATTAAAAGCTTTTTGGCAATGAGGAAGCCACAGTAAACCCACCCAAACCTATCCTTATCTTATTCTCTGCCTTGACTTTGGCCATCCCCTTTCATGCAAAACTTTGGGTCTTGACATCACACAGTTCTCCAGCTCAGTAGATTATATCATGCCACTCTTAGATGCTATCACAGAATAATGAGGAGAGAGATTTCCACAAATAAGGTTTATTCTTAAACTTGTGGATGACACAAGAAAGGAAAAATCAACTCCCCTTGAATTGGGAATGGGAAGGGTAGTAGTAAAAGGCAATTCAAGAAAAATCTCAAGAGTAGGAAATTTAAGTTGGATCTTAAGGAATGGTAGGCATTCAGATAGAGAAGAAATGGGAAGGACATTCTCAAATGTAAGGAACAGTATGTGCAAATGGTCATGATATGGATTAGCAAGACTCATTTCTAGAGGAAAATTTTTATGTATTGAATATGGACTGTGGGCCCGGCACTGTGGCACAGTGTGTTAACACCCTGGCCTGCAGTGCCAGCATCCCATATGGGCACCAGTTCAAGACCTGGCTGCTCCACTTCTGATCCAGCTCTCTGCTATGGCCTGGGAAAGCTGTAGAAGATGGCCCAAGTCCTTTGGCCCCTGCACTGCTGTGGGAGACCCAGAAGAAGCTCCTGGCTCCTGGCTTCAGATGGGCGCAGCTCTGGCCATTACGGCCAATTAGGGAGTGAACCACTGGATGGAAGCCCGCCCTCCCTCCCTCCCTCTCTCTCTCTCTCTCTCTGAATTAGGGAGTGAACTATTGGATGGAAGACCTCTCTCTCTCTCTCTCTCTCTCTCTCTGTGTGTGTGTGTGTGTGTGTAACTCTGACTTTCAAATAAATAAATAAATCTTAAAAAGAAAAAAAGAAGTTTACCAAGAAACAAAGCTAAAGTAGACTGAGGTCTTGTGACCAAGAGCTTTGCAGACCACAATATGGGGAGTAAGACTATACATTTTAAGAGTTTTAAGTCAAGGAGCAACAAAATCAAATAATCATAGGAATCTGGAACTGGGTAGTTAGTCCAGGTAGAAGGCTGATGAAACAGTCAAAACAAGAGACAGACACCTAAAGCAAAGCAAGATCTGTGGATAAAGAACAGGTGAGATATGTAAGCAGCAGCAAAGAGAACTTGCTGACTTATTAGCAGTAGAAAGCGCCAGACAGTGGGAAGGAATCTAGAACCCTTCGTCAGAAGACAGATGGAGTTTAACAGGAAGATGACCAGTTTGCTTTTAGACAATTGAGTGTAAGACAGTTACATATATGAGTCTGAGATTCAGGTAAAGATATGAACCAGACACATTTATATTTTAGGAACTATAGCTACTTCATTGCATTTAATTGCTCAGTAATATTCCACAGTTTGGCAAAACTGGTATTCCAGAAATGCCAGATTTATCATTGCAGAATAGCCCATTCCTACTAACAGAGGATGTTATTCTTCAGCATAATGAACTTTATCCTGTTTTATGGAGATTGAATGCTCTTAGGGGTCTACCAATATGCAAGCTCAAACACAAGTAAATAATGACAGTCAGATTCTCATTTCTCTTTTTCAGCATTGAGGTCCATCACAAGAGTACGTGGCTGGAAGTCTTATCATATAATTAATTGTCTTTATAAAGCACCCAGTTTATTTGGTCAAATGTGTTATTACTTATGAGAAGAGTATTCTAAACAGAGTTCTAATGAGAACACTCACCTACTATTCAGCACACAGGCATGCAATTTAACTGTCTTTAGTCAAAATGTGGAATTAAAACCACAAATTACTTATCAAGGCTTTGAAACTAAGCAAGTTCAGAAAATTTAATTTATGTATAATTATCACTTTCAGTATCCTATATTTCATTGCTGAGACATGTAAACAGAAACAATGGTGGTATATAGGCAAATTAAAATATTCACACATTCCTCCACTAACAATTTTGTTCGATTCACTGTGACTTGAATGTTAGACACTGGAAAGGAATCCCTTCACTGTGGCCCAGTGCTCTGGGGGTCCTCAGAATGGGCGCAGCGAATCATTCAACAGTCACAACAAAAGAGACTAAAACGGCTTCATCAGTAGGATCCAAACTTTCCTTCTTCATACCTATACACATATACACATATCTTCTCCTCCCAAGGGATTCTCCAGACTCAGAAAGTAGAAACAGAGAAAAAGCCCTTCTCTTACCAGGAAGGAAGGCTACCCATTAACTCTTGTTCTGCCAGAACAGTTTAATATTTCTCTCTTTACCTATGAAATGAAGAAGCCCTGCAATATGCTGGAATTAGCATTAAGTATCAGATGATTCTGCTGCTCTTGCTTAGTGTTTGGGAACTTTCTGCAGAAGCTATCTCAACCCACACCTGATGTCAGGCAGAGCTCCCCAGGCACACTGGCTGGCCAAATCTATCCCCCTGATTCAGTGAGTCCCTACCTCCTTTGTTGTCCCCAACAGCCCAGCACCATGCTAAGGAGTCACCTTACACAGCCTCTATGGTCTGTTCAGCAAAGCCAGCACTTCTTCCTGAACTCCACAGGTCCACACAGGAACTCTTCTTACCCTGATATTCCTTCTAACGTGCCTTCTTCCCCTGCTTTTCCAGAAGGCTCAATACCTGGCATGCAGGCGACTGCACGAATAGGCTGACTTCACCAGCTGCCATACTGAACACCAAAAGCTAGCAGTATGATGTTGAAATCAGAAAAGACCCCCTAAAATTCACACTAAAATATGGCCCCTTAAAGTTCCCTAGAAATGCTATCCAGGGTGCCACATGTGCTACTGGAATTTGGGGTGCCTTACGATTGCACCACGGGCTTATTACTAAATCCCCAATATTAATAAGCCCAAGAGGGTTCTTGCCTAATATTTAGAGAAGAATTCTAAATACCGGCACAGATAAACGAGGCAGCATGGTACGTCTTAAGCTTTTATTTAGTGAGAAAGATGCATAGGAGAGTGAGAGCTTTATTTAAGGGAGAGAGGTGAATAGGGGTTCATACCGAGCACCAGGAACCAGCCACGTGGATGAGCATCTAGGCCAGGAAGCCTATAGCACATGGCCCAAAGGCCATGCGCCCTGGAGGCACGGGGCTACTGCAAGCCCCCTCCTGACAAGAGGCCAGGGAAGAAGAGCAGGGCCAGGCCACACCGTGACCCAGCTTTTAACCCACTTCCAAAGGGGCATGGTTAATTAACCTGATTGGCTGGTGGGCACCAGATGTGGCTAGGAAGGAGAATGAGGCCACACAGGGACATGGCAAAGGCATCAGGTAGGGGCATGAGGCCACACAGGGACATGGTGAAGGGTGGTCTTCCAGTTTACAAATCTGATCCATTTTAACCTGTATGCCTGCCTTCTTCAATGTGACCTACATGACACTACGTTTTAAAGGTCTGTGTTGTCATTATGCCACAGTAGCAATTTTTTCCCGCACTGAAAACCTTTTACATCAATGTATGTATTTTTAAAGTGCTTCTCCCCCCCCCCTCAAATTCATTATACAAATTGGCTCCTCTAGGAATTCAAGAACTAAAATTTAAACATAATTTTAAAATCAGTTCTCTTAGTCTCAAACAACCAACACAGGATAAAACAGTCTATTCTATCTGCTCATGATATAAGCAGAAAGCACACACCCACACATGCACACAAATTGTCAAAATGTGACAGGTGGCTGTCTCTGCAAAAGACAATTTTTCAGTGTTTACCTATGTCTAACAATGAATAAGTCATAATAAACATACAGGCTAGCTTAAAGATAAATGTTCATACTGAAATAAACTGGTTAAGAAAAAATACACTATTTTTTTAAAAAAAAAAGTAAACTTGAAATTACTTACTTTCTGCTCAGGATTTTCCTGAAACAAAAGTCCAAAGTAGTCCTTCTCCAAGAGATTAAGATGTTCACATACTTTGTCAAATAACACTTGTCCCTTTGCACGTTTCTGGAGAGAAAGAAATGGTATCTTTACCTTTCGAGTTTACCATTCCACAAGTATATAAAAAAAAAAAAGAGCATTGTATCAGATACCTGTTTTTCTATAAATTAACATGAAGTTTTCTAACCTTCTAACAGTATGTAGGAGTGATGGGGAACTTCTTCCATTTCAGCCTTCTTGCCCTATACACATACGAAGCATAAAGCCCAAAATGAAGCCGGATCAATGGCCTTTACTTACTGCTATTCCAAGCTAAACATAGACTATAAAAAACAGAACATTAGGTTCAGTGCTCATTTACTTATTTTAAAACAGTATAAAAGTATGTTCAAACTGTTTTCCTCAATTGTTCACAACGGCTCATGATATATCTACAAGGTACACTCTCCAGGAAAAACATTTGGCCTTAACATTATTTAGCATCCTAACATAATTTATCCCATCATCATCTAGGTTTGATTTTTTAATTTTTGTTTCATGTTATCTGTAGAAGAGGATTTTTTAAAACCATTCATTTATCTGAAAGGTAGAGTGACAGAGAGGGCATGCAAGAGAGACGGTCAGAGGAATCCCCTATCCACTGGTTCACTCCAAATGCTCAAAACAACAGGGGCTAGGCCAGGCCAACCCAGGAGCCAGGAGCTCCATTCTGGTCTCTCCTGGTGGGTGATGGAGACCCAAGTATTTTGGCCACCTGCTGCCTCCCCAGGTACATTAGCAAGAAGAAAACTAGCCAAGATTCCAGGCACTCCAATACAGGAAGTAGGAGACCTAGACAATGGTTTAACCTGCTGAAGCACAATATCGTGCCCCTAAAATATTCTTTCAATACCAGCTATACTGTATTTACAGTTTTCTAGGGAATTAAATGGTGATTATCCCTTAGGATTTTTAAGATACAAAATAATAAAACTATAACAATAAATCAACAGCCTCTAAGCACTGAATATATCTTTGTCTTGAATAACCTTTTTTATTTTAATTTAAGAAGGTGCTGTCAACAGAGACATTAAAGCCCTTAATTGTCACAGAAGAAAAGCTCATTGTCTAAGGCAAAACATAATCAAAGTGGTGACTCATGCCCAATTAAGATGCATACTCCTGGAATAGTCCAACTGTGAGGTCAGGCCACACACGCCCCCCACTGCCGACATACATTGGTAGAAGCCACCACTGGGCTGACAGTGAAAAAACAAACCCCAGACTTTCTGATCCTCTCAATGAATACTCTCTCTAGCATACTGTATACTTCTTGGTTTATCCAGTTCCTCACAGACATATCCAGTATTTTTTTATTATTAAACCTTTTAAAACATTTAATAACATCTCTGGAAAAAAATTACAGTAAATAGTAAAAGGAAGGAGAAAGCCACACAGATTTCATTATTTCGACATAACAAGCAGGGTGCCGCACATATCACTACAGAATGACATTCAGACTGTAATATCCAATTTAATTTCTAAGTCCATTTAAGACAGATATGTGCCTGTTTGTCTATATATTTAAAGTATATATAATTACAAGGGTACTTCAAAAAAGACTGTGGAAAACAGAGTTCAAAGATTAGTTTATTTTGGTGATAAAAAAACAGAAATCCATGCATAAGCATTGTGTTCAAAAAGTTTGTGGAAAACTCCATATTATGAAAAACTGAGTATGCATAGATTTCAAATTTTCTTTGTACCAAAATAAATTTATTTTTTAATTACATTTTGCCAGAAACTTTTTGATGCACCCCTATAGCACAGGCAATAAGAGTATTGAGCTGTGTGTGTCAAATACAAAAGTTCTAAATACATTTCCATTACTTACAAGCTATTTGACCCACAGCAAGACAGTCAACTTCTATGTGGGTAAGTCTGAATATTTGTGAGATGGGAGTAACAATCTACCACATGAGGTGTAAGGAGTACAAAACAAGTAATTAATAAAAAATTGGCTATGATGGTGTATGAAATCATGGTAAATCAAACATATCTCAGTTCAAAAAGAGAAAAAGCATTCCAACATTTGCTTAGAATCAATTATTAGTAATAAATCATACTTTCTCACTGGTTTTTATTTCAAAAATGGATTCATGCTCTCATGGACAGAATTTCTCCAAATGATTAACAGGAAAACATCCATGGAGCTCAACACCATAATTTGCTAGTATGTAGAGCCTTTATTCTGGAAACCAGCATGGGGGTTTACTCTACCAATTACTCTATCATTCAAATTGTGTAAGCCCTTATTATTACTACACAAGAGTGACAATGGGAAAACAACTTAGTCTCCTTATCTGTAAAATAAGTAAGTGTAACAGCTACTTGAATCTCTCACTGTGAGATTCAAATTAACCTGAAGAGAGGATATGTCAAATTGCCAAAGTGCTTCTATCAATCATTGCAGAATTCTGTCCCTAGGTGTTTTTTTCTCCAGCCTATGTCTAATAAACAACAAAATTAAAAATAATTAAACAAAAAAACTAACATAATTCAGATGGACAGGATATGACACAAATGAAGAGAAAATCAGCAAACTGGAAGATAGATTCGAGAATACCACCCAGAATGCAGCATGAAAGACAAGAGAAAATATGAAAGCACTTCACAGACACAAAGAACAGAAAGAAGACCACATATACCTCAGAGTCCTAGAGATGGAGATGACAGAATAAGGGAAAAATATTAGAAGACAGAATGGCTGACAAATGCTACAAGTCTTCAAATTAAGGAAATCTGATGGATCCCTAGAAAGAAATAAAATCCATCAGTCCATATCATTTATTTCACAAATTTATTTATACTCATTTGCATTCAGATGGTTTTGACATGCATTATTTAAATATAGTATAGTAAGAGCTGGTGTTGTGGACTGGCAGGGTAAGTGCAATATAAGCATCCCTGTTCTACCTCTAATCCAGCTCCCTGCTAACGCACCTGGGAAAGTAGCAGGAGATGGTCCAAGTCCTTGGGCCCCTGCACCCATATAGGAGAACTTAAAAGAAGCTCCTGGCTCCTGGCTGTGGATCGGCCCAGCTCCAGCCATTGCGGTCATTTGGGGAGTGAATGAGGGGATAGAAACTTGCTCTGTTTCTCACTCTCCATCACTCTCTCTCCCTCTCTGGCTCTCCATCTCTCTCTGTAACTCTGGCTTTAAAATAAATAAATCTTTAAAATAATATTATTATAACAATAATATAAAGGCACCAAGGAAAGAAACATGAGCTAAGGAACAAAGAGAAAGAAGAAAAGAAAATTGTAAGAGAAAATCCAGAGAGGCTACTTCTAAGAAATCAAAAGCTGATGTTTTTTAAAAGTTAACGCAAAAAACCAACCAATCAAACAAGATGACTAGTTTATATTTCGTCTTGTCTTAAAAAGAATTAAGAAATTTGCAAAAATTAAGAGTGAGAATGGGAGAAGGAGAAGGAGGAAAGGCTGTAGCGTGGGAGGGTAGGGGGTGAAGTATCACTATGTTCTTAAATCTGTATATATGAAATACATGAAACTTTCTAACTTAAATGAAGTTTTAAAAGAATGTAAGAGATTATCAGAGATACACATTAAATGCCATATATTAATGTCCCAAGTTATAGAATAGTACAGTACTGATCTGCAATCAAACTTGTGTGTGTATGTTCTGACATAAACACCATTTAGTCATGCAAAATTTCTTTCTTTGGCTTCAAACTGTTTCACAACACACTCCACAAGTAATAATTCTCACTCAGGAGACTGGAACCAATACACAACTCATAATGGTAGTACATAAAAATGCACAGGGCCGTGCAGGTCAAAATCGTTCCTTTTCAACCCTCCCAGATTCTCAACATGGAAGAAAAGTGCTGTAAGTTCTCTACATGTCCTGGTTTGACCATCAGCCCTACCCTCTTAACAGATGTATAACCACAGGCAAGTTATTAAATTATTCTATGCCTCAGTTTCTTCTCTTTAAAATAAAAATACTCACCTTATAAAAGTGATGAGAGAATTAAATAAGGTTTATGTAGAGTGTTTAATAAAATGTTTGGCATAATACACTGATTCATTAAAGGACAGCTGAAATCACAGGACCTTTTTGAGTTTCTCTAAATGTCATTAAAAAGGTTTCACAGTTATTTAATCTAGCTTCTTTATTTCGCAAATGAAAAAACTAAGGTTGCAGAATGTTCATCTGATATAATTTCTTAGGTTGATTTTTTTAATTTCTTTTTAAAAATTACACCCTTGTTTGTGATAGCCATAAGCATTAGTCAGTCATTTATACTTCTACTCGAGAAGGCAATTTTCTCCTATTATTGTTTGGGATCTTTTTAATAAACAGCTTGAATCCTGTTATATGAAAAATTACAAAAACATGTTTGTAAAGCAAAATATCTGTGTATTTTCTTGATTAGCAATCTATACCTAAAATCTCGTAGTACACAATGCTGGTTCATTAGTTATCATGACAGAGGGTACTGCCCCTGATAAACAGAACTGCCCACATCCCATACTGAAATGCCTGATCTGAGCCACAGCTACTCTGTTTCTCATTACATTTTCCAAACAATGTGCACCCTAAAAAAGCAGCAGGTGATGACTCAAGTTCTTGGGTTCCTGCCACCCACATGGGGACCTGGATGGAGATCCTGGCTCCCGGCTTCAGCATGGCCTAGGACTGACTGTTGCAAGTATTTGGGGAGTGAACCAGTGTATATTAAGTTCTTTCTCTCTCCCTCTCTCTCACTTCCTCCCTCCCTTTTTGTTGCTCTCCCTTTCAAATAAAATTTTTTTAAATGGAACTTTAAAAAATTCATTTTACATGTATGGCGCTTACTCTTATGGTCTTCTCCCTTTGATATAGGCTGAGTTCTTTAGGAAAAACTATGTCTTAGCAGCTCCTACAACAGCACATCATGGAGCTGAAAGATATTTGTTGGATGCAGCCAAAAACGTAAGAGCTGAGTCTAGAATTCAGGCCTGCTGGCTCTCAGTCTTTCACAATCTCCTGGATGTACCTCATGGACTACCAATGCATA